AAATAAATAATTTAGTTATTATATTATTAATATGAAACTTTAGAACAAAATCAATTTTAATAATGTTATCTCTAAATTAAACACAATGCTTGATATTTTTGTAGATTTAATTGTATATTATTTATAATTAAACAGAAGAAAATATCTAATAGGTAGGTAATATATATATATATTTAAAAAAAAAAACAGTTTTATAAAATTTCATTTAGGCATATAATAAAAATGAACAATAAGTTGTTAATTAAAATATAAATTAGAATTATAAAGTTAAAACATTATAATGAATACATTATTATTTCAAAAAAATTTTTTTTCGGGCTTTTGCGTTGGCAAAGTCTGTTATTATCTTATCAATATTAAATTCGCGGTACGTTTACCTTCAATATTCAAAATACTTATATTTTTTAGTCGATCTTGACCAGAAGAATTCCATAGATAATTTTTTATGAATTTAAGATTTAAAAAGCTACATTCTGCAGACGCGACTGTTATCGGTAAAGTTAAAAATAAATAACATGCTGCAGATATAATAGTATAATACATCTGGTTAACTTATAGACAAATCCATTTCAATAATATAACACATAGATCTTTAAAAGATTTTAGATTTTGAGATGAAATGTTTGTTTTTAGACTTATAATTTGTCGCGTGAAATCTGAAGTAATATCATATTTATAAAATTGAATAAAATCATAGGTAGATTTAATTAGAGAAGACTGTTCATAGCTCAAAAATTTGAAACGATCAGAAACACATTTCATTCCATTAAATCGTTCTTTGAGTTTAAATATTATACAATCCACGACTGGTAAAAATACTTTAATCCTAAATTTATCTTCAGAAATATCAAATCTCCGGTCACCGTCAACTTCTCCAAATACCTACTTTTTTATGAAACATAGGTCTCGAAGAATGGAATGAAATATCAATTCCCCATTCATCATATAAGCGTTTTGATTCTAAATATATTGTGCTGTAGTCATTTCGCATGTGTTGCATATTTTGAATAGCTTTATCCAGAAGCATAGAAGCATTCTCTAATGAAATATCCGTACTTTATAAAATTTTAGATACAGTATTTAAATATCTTAAAATATTTTCCCAAATATATAAAATTAATACAAATTCACTCGATTCTATCTTATTTTTAAGTACTTTACTCATATTTC